GAGCATTTTGGGACGTGAAGTAGTATCCAAACGAGTCTACGTTGAAGGAAATCGAGGCACAGGAAGGCCTTGGGCAGAGTTTAGCAGAAGTGCAAAAACACGAAAGTACAAACAAACATACCTCCACGAGGAGTGGACGGATTCGTAAACGGTTTCTTGGAGCGTTTTCGGGACGTGAAGAACTATCCAAACGAGTCTACGTTGAAGCGAATCGAGCCACAGGAAGGTCCTGGGCAGAGGTTGGCATTAGGGCAAAAAGACGAGTCACGGCATTGCCCGAAAATGACGTACTTCCTTTGCGGGCTACCTTCAAAATGCAAGGTAGCCCGCAAGGGAAGTACGTCATTTTCGGAAATTTCCGTGACTCAACTTGTGAGTCATTCCTTTTGATCAGCGGAATATTCACCATTATCCTCACAACTTCTCAGTACCTTCCTGCAGTCCGTTTCGCTTGAGTGTGGACTCGATTCAATACCTACGCATTCCACGAACAAGCTCCACAAAACCGTTTACAAAACGGTCAACTTCCCATGGAGGTAAGTATCACTTTGTATATTCGCATTTTTGCACTCATGCTCACAAGCTCTCAGTACCTTAATCTGGACCGTTTGGCGTGTGCGTGGGCTCGTTCGGATAGCCCAAACTCCCTGAAAACGGACCACCAAACCGTTTGTGAAATGGTTGAGGCCTCGTGGAGGTAGGTCACTTTGTATATTCGCTTTTTTGCACATATCCTCACAAGCTCTCAGTGCCTCATTCTGGTCCGTTTGGTGTGCGCGTGGGCTCGTTCGGATACCCCCAAACTCCATGAAAATGGTCCACAAAACCGCTTTCAAAATGGTTAAGGCCTTGTGGAGGTAGGTCACTTTGTATATTCGCTTTTTTGCACACATCCTCACAAGCTCTCAGTGCCTCATTCTGGTCCGTTTGGCGTGCGCGTGGGCTCGTTTGGATACCCCCAGACTCCTTAAAAACGGTCCACTAAAACTACTTTCAAAATGGTTAAGGCCTTGTGGAGGTAAGTCACTTTGTATATTTGCCTTTTTGAATTTATGCTCACAATCGCTCCAGCACCTTAATCTGATCCGTTTGGCATGCGCGTGGGCTTGTTCGGATACTCCCAAACTCCCTGAATATGATCAACAAAACTGTTTATGAAAAGGTTGAGGCCTTGGTTGATTGTTATACATTGAATATAAAGAAATATAATTGAATGGGGTTGATAATACTGTGGAAATCTGGACCGTTTGGCGTGTGCGTGGGCTCGTTCGGATAGCCCAAACTCCCTGAAAACGGACCACCAAACCGTTTGTGAAATGGTTGAGGCCTCGTGGAGGTAGGTCACTTTGTATATTCGCTTTTTTGCACATATCCTCACAAGCTCTCAGTGCCTCATTCTGGTCCGTTTGGCGTGCGCGTGGGCTCGTTCGGATACCCCCAAACTCCATGAAAATGGTCCACAAAACCGCTTTCAAAATGGTTAAGGCCTTGTGGAGGTAGGTCACTTTGTATATTCGCTTTTTTGCACATATGCTCACAAGCTCCAGTACCTTAATCTGGTCCATTTGGCATGCACATGTGCTCGTTTGGATACCCCCAGACTCCCTGAAAACGGTCCACCAAACCGTCTGTGAAATGGTTGAGGCCTCATGGAGGTAAGTCAAATTGTATATTTGCCTTTTTGAATTTATGCTCACAATCGCTCAGCACCTTAATCTCATCTGTTTGGCATGCATGTGGGCTTGTTCGGATACTCCCAAACTCCCTGAATATGATCAACAAAACTGTTTATGAAAAGGTTGAGGCCTTGGTTGATTGTTATACATTGAATATAAAGAAATATAATTGAATGGGGTTGATAATACTGTGGAAATGTTGAGGAAGCTTGCAAGAACAGGGCTAGCAAATAATTTGAGTAAAGAGAGAGCAGAGGCATCACTATTCATATGCTTAGGGTGCTAAAAGCAAGTGTTAAGCAAGGATTTGGTAGATTTGACTAGAAAATACAATGAGGAGGATGAGGCATTCAACTGTGGGAAGAAATCATTTTCATGGGAGAAAGTCAAATTTCAGTGTTACCGCGCTGAAAAAAGTCTTGAGATCCCAGGTAATAAACGAGTCTCTTCGTAAACTCAGAGGACTCGTAAAGAGGGTGAAGGTATGCTTACGAGAGGATGACTGTGACAAGAAGTCGAGACGGCGGTGTGCATAGGGAAGCGTTGACAGCGGTGTATGTGAAGGTACGTTGGCAATTCCATGACATTGTGCCGTTTGTTCACGTCGTCAAATCCTACTTTGTAAGGACATACAAAGTTAGTAAGAGAAAACACAAGAGAAGCGTGAAATATACATACAATCGAGACAAAAAGAATATATCTACTTACGACAAATGGAAGCAATTCAGACAAATACGCATTCGCGTCGTGAAGTCCTACATATTCCTGTAAAGACGTATAAAGTTAGTAAAATAGGCACGAGAGATGTATTAAGCCGTTGAGCAAACGACGCCAAAATATGACGTGTGCCAAGGATCGTCTGAACCTGTGCTGGGGTTCAGACGATCCTTGGCGCACGTCATAATTTGGCATTGTTGCCCATCCTGACGTCTTTCAACTTGAACAAACAAATCCACCACGCGCGCGGTGGATTCGTTTGCATTTGTTTGAACCAGACGCTGTCATCTCTCAGCAGACGATGCATGACGACAACGACAATGCACGACGACGGAGAACAACGATGCACGACGACAGCGGACAACGATGCACGACGACAGCGGATGATGATGCACGATGACAGCGGACGACGCTGCACGACGACAGCGAACGACGATGCATGACGACGGCAAATGGCTATGGTGAATGACGAGGTATGATGACGGCGAATGAGACATAAAGGTGGAACACGAGGGAGCGGCGAGGTGCCATGTCGCAGTCAGCGACGTGCCAACTGAACGACGAATCACTTCTGTGGGCCCAGGTGAGCAAGAAAGAACCTTCCCCTCCACGTTCTTTCTTTGACGCACAGTCTAGGTGCCATGTAAGCCTTCAGAGAGGTATTTTTCGTTTGTTCGTCAGCACCCTGTTTCTCTAACATTCATTTAATCTGCAGAAACATCGTATTTGCAGCCCTCGCGTTGTCGATGAGGGCTGCAAAGACATCGACTGCGTCAACGGCATTACAGTCAACGGCAACGGCACCCTACGTTACCTACACGACCACCGCAATTCAAGTGAACAACGTGGCGACAACGGACTGTTTCCACTCGCACCTCGTTGCCCTCCTCTCCATCTGCGAAGTTTCTTTTTCCAGGGCTCAAATCTCGCGGTACGATGGCCCCCCAGACGAGCAGACAAGATGGTGTTGAAGAGGTTGGGGATGTGTGGTGCAAAGTTGAAGGAAGGCCGTCGTCCTGCGGTGCGTTTATATGCACCTCATTCAACTAACATCCTAACATCCACCTGATTAGAATCCACTACACGACGTCGAGCTATCCGCTTGCATATCAGTCACCCTTTCCAACACGTTTAGCTGGGTACCCTGTCAACGACATCGAGCCATACGCTTGCGTATCACTCCCTTTTTCTGAAGCGTTTAGCTTGGGGCATCGTGTCGTACGTTCATTCGCACCAAGTTCATCGTCGCCTACGTCAACGGCTTAACCAGCACCCTATGTCTCATCTCAAATTCGTCGCCATTCGCTTGCTTATCACTCCCTCTTTCCAACACGTTACTCCATCAACGACGTCCTTCGTCGCCTGTCAACGATGTCCATACCCTGTGAACGAGTCCGTTCACCTATCACTCTCCCTTTCCAACAACGACACTCCCCCTTTCCAAGATGTTTAGCTCGGGTGTGATGTGAGATGACAGTGTGTTTGGGGAGGGAGTTACATGTTAGTTTTTGATGCTTTTTTTTTCTCAGATCATGTAGTTTCCTCGCGCTGCGTCGAGTAGTCCTGTAGAAGGGACGTACAATACTGGAAATGCAAACTATTAACTAAATCTTTGAGCTCAAGGGCATGATCACTGAAATCAAACAAATGCAAATGAAACCACCGCGCGCGCGGTAGTTTCATTTGTCCCTATTGACGTCGACCTCCCTTCAGCCACCATCTCTTTACTTGAAATCTGCTATGGACTCTGACACTTCCAGTTTGGCTCACATGGTAAACTGTCTGTACTAATTCCACTCTCACTAAAGCAAGCACTCACACTGGTTCACCTCATTCAGGTCCTTCAGAATGCCGTGCTGTCTCACCTGTGTTCTCAGCCTTTCCTTGGGCCACACCACATGTTGTGCACATTCCAAAGCCTTTGACTGACTTCACCGATGTAATGTCACCTCACAAGGTACTTTATTTCTTTGTGGCCTTGGTTGTAACTTATCAGACTGCTTTTAGCACTTCATCAATTCACTAAATCGATTTGAGCGCTTGCTCTTTGCCTTTGATGATAAACTTGCCGTCAATTCTACCGAATTAGCACCACTTCTAGGCTTAGATGTCCTGAAAGCATCCAATGCGGTCACTCTACATCCAACGGCAATGACTGCATCATCAAAGGGGGAGTACAAAACCCTTGCTTCCATTGTTTCTGCATATCGAATGTTTGAGGTCTTGGCTCTTGACTGTGAAATTGGTGGTTTGCAACCTCCCATTCGCCTGCTTTCCCCCTTGTCTTTCAACAAGTCTGAGAAGGATAGTGAAAAGATTGTTGTACGTCGATTTATATATATATTCTGATCTTCAAGCTAATTTTCCTTGCTTGCAGGGGTTTGACAAACTAGAAAATTGGCCCAAAGTTCTGCTTAAGTTCCGGAAACTTATAGGTCAGTCAGGACTACCTCAAATTCCTGACGACCTCCAAGCAGGAAGCAAACACCTTGCACTGCTATGGATGGCAAGCAAGAACAAAGAAAAAGTAGGCTACATTAATGTGGTCGACAACTTTCTTCAAGCCGCTCTGCATCTTTACTACCTCAAGATGACCCAATTCCCAGATGGGTCTCTGCCTGACTATCCTGATATTTTAAATGACTGTCTCCAGTGCGTTAGACTCATGTCACATTGATATCTGATACTCATATCTTTCAGCATCTTCAAAGACGAGACCTCTACAGATGAATTCATCAATGATCAAGAGGAGGGGACTTACTACTTGGAACATCTACGTGATGGAGAGACAGCTTCACACACGCTCCACCAACTTGGGACACCTCTGCAATTAGCACTGCTCCTGACTCCTTTCTATTTGCTCTTTCCATTCCAGATAATTACCAGGTCTTACAATCGTCGACTCGTTCTTGAAGCCTTTGCAGAGTTAACCCCTCGGAAGACACCCCTCGTGCTTAAAATTGAGAGATCCATCTGGTGTTCTCTTATAGCGCTTGCTGATGTGACCATCACGCCTCATGAAGCTTTAACACAACTGGTGTCAAGATTGCCATGGGCCGAGATAGAGGCAGCATCCAACAACCCCCGTGATTGTCAGATGTTTTGCACCCCTTTAGGTGAGAAATGTTAGACTGCTTTTCAAACTTCATTTATTTATTCTTTGTTGTATTTACAGCCCAGCCCTCTTCTTCTTCAACTTGTGTAAGAGGCCATTGCAAGCATGGCAGGAACGAGTCCTCATTTCCAAGGCCATTATTGCCCTAGACTCTAAACAGGGTACCCTAGCATCATCATCAATGTGTAGCATGCTAGTAAGTATCCTACCTATCCTACCTATCTACCCTTTCTACCTCCTGAGACTTGCCTCCATTGATTGACCCATATGCCCACTCTTCATTCTTTGTATCACCACACATTACACTTTATGTAATCACTGTAATTTACCTTGTGTACATAAAGAAATGATATCTTCTTGCCACCACTTGTACCTCTTATATCACTTGGATACTCAAGCCCTACCAATAGCTTTACTTCAAGCTTTGAGAGATCAGCAGTCAGACATCAAAAACTTCATTGTCACAATCTCCACTGGGACTGTTTGTGGAGATCAGAGTATGACAGTGCTGAACAGTCACATTCTATGATTCCGAGCATGCAACTAAGCTGTTTAGACCAACTTGGTGAGTCCTCACACCTTTGATCATTGTAGTCCACTAGGCATTCCAATGACTGTCCCACTACCTGAGCGATCACTATGTCAAGTATTGGTTCCACAATGATAAGAAACATTTCTATGTTTTTCCCAATTTTTGCTCATTTTATAGTAATATGTAGATTGAGTACTATATTAACTAACTGTTGCATAACATTATCACTAACAGTAAAGCAATATCATCCAATTTTCTCTGAAATTTGTGCTATTTTATGACTATTTTCCCATAGATTACCATATTTGGAAGTCCACTATGGACTGTAAACACAATATATAATGTTATTACTACTGGTAAGGACATCCTCCAACCTTTTCTGATTGCTCTACTATTCTTTAGCTATTTTTGGGTTGATACCATTTTTGCAAATAAATCTAGCCTCATAGACTATATATACTTTTGATAAGTAATACATAGTCATGATAAGTTAATTGTTTTACACATTTTATTGTATGACTAATTATTTGTATTTGTTTATAATCAAATGTTATTCTATAGTACCACATATCAGATCTATATATTGTAAAAAAGATCATGTCATTTGAACCAGAATTGGATGAGCTACGTAAAAGCCTTTTTAGGATAGATAAATGACTAATCAGTAGTATGTAAAGACTGGTATATATCTGTTTGGAAGTATTTGGTAGAATTTGTAGATATACTGAAACTTTTTAAACTATGAACATCAATTAAACATCAACAGTGTGGATCATTTTGTTTTTCAAACTATTTATTTGTATTTGTCTTCATTTATTTGGACCAGAGTTGGCAGAGCTGTGGAGAAATCTTTATTTCAGCTCAAAGAGATGACTATGTGATGACATGTGATGAAGGGTATGTATATATTTGGAAGTATTTTGTAGAATCTGTAAACTATGATTATGAGCATAAAGTAGACATTGAAAATGTTGAACATTTTGGATTATGATCTATTTATTTGCATTTGTATACATCCATTATCATTTTAAAACAGTTCTGCAATTAAGGGGTGCATACTGCTCAAAAAAAACCATGTCATTTGGACCAGAGTTCGCAGAGCTACAGAGAATTCTTTACTTTAGCCCCAAAGAGATGAGTAAGCAACAACATGTGATGAAGGGTATATATATATTTGGAAGTATTTGGTAGAATCTATAAATATATTTGTAATATTTTCAAACCATGGTCATACAAACATGATCATGAGTGTCAAAAATACATTGAAAATGTTGAATGTTTTGAATTGTGGACTGTTTATTTGTATTTGTCTACATCCATTGTCATTTTAGAATAGTTCTGCAATTAAGGAGTGCATACCACAAAAAAAAACATGTCATTTGGACCAGAATTGGCAGAACTACAGGTAAATCTTCATTTTCGCTAAAAATGATGACTAAGCGATGGCACACCAAGGAAAATGATGACGCACGAACGTTTCCCGATCACATTGATGGGAAACGTTCATGCATCATTGCAAGGCACAAGAGATCCTCGTGACGTCATCACTGCAGGTCATATTAGCAATTCCAAAGGAAAATACTGTAACTCTGCCAGATCTACCCTGAAGTTCATGCATTTCAATTATGTAAAATTTAGGAGTATGTTTTACATAATTGACATGTCATCACCCAGGTTATACCAACAATTCAGAGAGACAATACTGTAACTCTGTCATATCTACTCCAAATTACATCAATCAAAATGCAGAAAAAAGGTAATATTCCAGAGGATTTAATTACTTAAATTGTAGTATTATGTGTTATATAATAATGAGCAGGATGCATCTGGACTGAAATAGGGCAATAATAACTTACACAGTGCATTGTTGATATGACAATCCATGTTTTGATGAACAGCCAGCAGCCAATTTGTGTAATTTCAAATCTTGCATGCTGCTGATAAACAACCATCAATAACATTGGAATCAAGCTCACATGAAGCATCTATAATTGGAGAAATCTCCCCAAGCTTTGATGGCATATACCCCACCACCCAAAATGATGATGCACAAGAGGCATTTGAAAAATCTGATGTACAACTATAAATATTTGTGATCAATGTCATTTCCAAACAGAATGACATGTGACAATAGGAACCACTGAAACCTCCTGCAAGGTTTTGGCAAAGTACGATCATCATTTGTTTCCCTTCTTCTTGGGGTTTTTTAGATAACAAATTCATGCTCACATCTGATACCACCTATAACACACTTGAGGTAGGAACACACAAAATGCCTTGTCAACTTGACCAGCCCACATGTTGCATCATTGCGTATTTGGTGGGCCAGTTGCAGTTCATATACCATGAGTGCCAGGTGAAATGATTATAAAAGCATTTGGTATATATAATTAAGGAAGAATCATTCGTGGGAATGAGGACCATCACCATCCTTGTCGATGTTGATATAGATGCTCATTCAAAATAATATGACTTATGTTGGGTATATAAAGTGCCTTTAACTGGTGATGACCATTTTGAGCAAGAATCCGTGCCATCACCAGACGGTTCACACGGTCAGTAAGACATTGTAGTGTTGATTACAAAAATGCTAACAGAAGACTACAAACTCTGGATAAAGACTACAAAATCCCTGACCATGGGAAACCATCAATTTTCATGGGAGAAAGGCTAAATTCTGTGTTAGTGCTACTGAAAAAATCCTCAAGTTCCGGGGTAATAAACGAGTCTCTTCGTAAACTCAGAGGACTCGTAACTTCCTACAGTATGCATAATCATGTTGGGCTAGCTGAGTATCTTGTAACTGCTCATTGCTCACTTATGGGTGTTGATCCCAGATCCACCCATTCTTGCCTCCTTCTTCCCTCTTGGCTTCAGCTATGCAAGAAGTTCAGAGTGAATGCTTCACAATAACAGACTGCAAATGTCAGATATTGACTACAAAGTTGGATTATCTCTACAACAGGAGCACTTTACAGTGTAGAGCTACAACTTCCATTTTTTTGACTATTTTTGGTAACTGGTCATGTGACCATCATCCCATTACATGGGCCCTAATAGATAAAATTATTCTTCACTTGGTTTTCTCCAGTTTTTGGTCAAAGTGGATGATATTTTCTTTTTGGTATGGACTCTGAAGGTATTGCCTGACATTCTATATACCATTCAAACTTTTTTTTCAGTTTTTCCACTATTTTCCAGCAATTTTTGGATCTATTACCATATTTGGAATTGTACCCTTGACCCTGACAATGTTACCAAACATTATCACAGCAATGGCCATCCATCATTTTCTTCTGATTTTTTGCCTATTTTCTGGCTATTTTTTGTTATGTTACCATATTTGGAAATAGACTCTGGACCCTGACAATGTTACCCAATGTTATCACTAGCAATAACCACCATTCCCCATTTTTTTCCTATTCTTGACCATATTACTTTATTTGGAACTAGAATCTGGACCCTGACAATGTTACTCAATGTTATCGCTAGCAATAAGCATCATCCTCCATTTTTTTCTGATTTTCTAGCTATTTTCTGGCTACTTTTGGATATATTGCCATATTCAGAACTGGACCCTTGACCCTGACAACATTAACCAATGTTATCACTGCGATGGGCACCATCCCCCATTTTTTCTGATTTTCTAGCCATTTTCTGGCTCTTTTTAGGTCTATATTACTCAATTTGGAACAAGACTCTGGACCCTGACAAGATTACCCAAGGGTATCACCACTATCCTCCATGTTTTTCTGATTTTCTGGCTATTTTCTGGCTATTTTTGGCTATATTACCATATTTGGAAATGTGCCCTGGACCCTGAAAACAACCTCCAACATCATTACCAACAGTAAGCACCACCCCCCAAATTTTCCTGATTTTTGTGCTATTTCATAGCCATTTTACCTTTGAAAAAGTGCACATCTCCTTATTTAGAAATGTACCCTGGACCCTGAAAATGACCTCCAACATCATCACCAACAGTAAGCACCACCCACAATTTTTTCTGATTTTTCTGCTATTTTCTGGCTATTTTTGGCTATATTACCATATTTGGAAATGTGCCCTGGACCCTGAAAACAACCTCCAACATCATTACCAACAGTAAGCACCACCCCCCAATTTTTTCTGATTTTCTGATTTTTCTGCTATTTTATTGCTATTTTACATCTGAAAAAGCGCACATTTCCTTATTTAGAAAGGTGCCCTGGACCCTGAAAGCCACCTCCGATGTCACCACCAACAGTGAGCAACACCCCAAGCTCATCGTCACAAGCAGCAAGCCCTTTACAGCTAATATAATGTATATAGGCTGGATTTGTAAGCATCGGAAATCTCCGAAAATGACATACTTCCCTTGTGGGCTACCTTTGATTTTGAAGGTAGCCCGGAAGGGAAGTACGTCATTTTCGGCTATTTCCAATACTTAGGAAAGTAACTCAATTAGTCATCATTTTTGCGAAAATGAAGATTTCTATGTAGCTCTACCAATTCTGGTCCAAATGACACAGTA